ATATAATGCGAGAATGTAATATATTTGCTAAATCATATCAAATGATGGGTGAAGAATTAGAAAATCAACGCCAATCATTATCTAAGGAATTGTTACCGGAATTACAATTAATATTCACTTTAAAACCAGGAATGGATCGACGTCGATATAATATTCAGAGAGCAAATGAAATTGCTGCTGTTTTTTCTACAACGGCTGATGGAGAAATTCCAGAATCGTATGTTATAATACGTAATAAGAATACAAAAACTTTACAAAAAGTTAGTATTATGGATCCAAATGTTGAACCATGGATATATCCATTGTTTTATCCATATGGTACTCAAGGATGGCATCGTGATTTAAAGAAATTAAATAGCGATAGACGAATAACTAGAGGACAATATATTAAGTATCGCATGGCTATTCGTGATGATTTTAATGTTTTCTTATTAGGACGACGTTTATTTCAACAATGGCTTGTGGATAATTATGTAAAAATTGAAAAAGATAGAACGGATTATTGCAAGACTCATCAGAAAGAATTACGTTCTGAGACATATCAAGGTTTAATAGATTATATGCAAAATTTGTCGAATAACTTGAATGGACGTATTGGAAAAATGGTTATACTTCCTTCTTCGTTTATCGGGTCACCGCGTAACATGTTACAAAATTATCAAGATGCAATGGCAATTGTTGCTAAATTTGGTAAACCAGATCTTTTTATCACAATGACTTGTAATCCAAAATGGCGTGAAATTGATGAAAACCTTTTACATGGTCAACAAGCTTCTGATAGACCTGATATTTGTGCTCGTGTTTTTAATATTAAAAAAGATTATTTAATAGATTTGATTACTAAACAAAAATTTTTTGGTGAAGTAGCAGCATATGTATATGTTATTGAGTTTCAGAAACGTGGTTTGCCACATATCCATATGTTGATCACTTTAAAACATAATTTTAAAATAACAACTCCAGAAATAATCGATAAATATATATCTGCAGAAATTCCTGATCCTTGTGAGAATCATAATTTACATGATATAGTCATGAGACACATGATTCACGGGCCTTGTGGCGATTGGTGTTTGGTAGAAGGACAATGTTCAAAACGTTATCCGAGAACTTTTTTAGAAGAAACAAGAATGGATGAAGATGCTTATCCATATTATCGTCGGCGAGATACTGGGAAAACTTATGAACGACCTGGCCGATA